CGTTTAGCAGGGGGCAGGGGAAAAGGTAGTCTGAGTAGGAGAAGGCGTCCAATTGCACAATATCGACTAGGCTCTTTGGCTTCGAGGTTAGATTGGCGATGGACTAATGTGAAAAGTCATCGGAAGGCAGAAAACGGTCAGAGGATTCGATTCGGGTCGGGATATGCGCGGCAAGTGTTGCATTGTCTATGTATGGCGCACGCAAGCCGTTCCGTCGTTGGTTCGTTCTATTCCGCGTAGTGCAAGGTCATGGTTGTACTGAAGAAGACGGGCTTCGTAGATGGATCCAGCTCCTGGTCTAGAGGTATCCGCACTTTAGACTCGTCGCCATGCGCACTTACGTATGTTGCGGAGACCAGGGGAAACATGGGAGGGAGCAGTACACGACGTCCGAGTTTGAATGGTGTGTCGTAAGGTGTGTTGTTGTGTAAGAGTATGTTCTCGTGTGTAATATTCCGGCATCTGTGGTGTAAGTTGAAGCTATGCTGGGCCCGGCCAATTGTTTGATTGTTCAGCATGACCTGCGGTTACCGTGGCACTCCGGCACCAACCTAGCGCAGAGAACGGTTTTCCTTTTCCCTCAGAGTTTGGACTTGGGTAAAAGCCAGTGAAAGTGAGTTCCCGGTTCATGGGTCAATGGGCGTCGCCGCATGAGGCCGAAGACGCGAGAGTAGCGCGAAGGGGGATGGAGATGGAAGCTAGGCGAGCGGCCGCCCGGTGGCTTGACTGTCTTCAGCCTTCGCGTAACCGACACCTCTTTCTTTTTGCATTGAGGCATATTTAAGGGGGCGTATGAGTTGTGATATGGCATTGGATAGCTTCGATATTAAGTTGGCCAGCTGGTCAAGCTTTATCAATCTGGTTATTAGGCTTCCACTGAAATCTCCTGTGTGATAAGTCATTGCCACCTCCAAAACCAAGGTCAGAGGGTCAGAATGCGAAAGTCAGAGCCAAAAGCTGAAATGTTATCCAACTCGTGATAATGGCAGGGCTAAGAATAAGGTTGCAATAACACGGAATAAGTCACAGCCAACCGCGCTGCGCGGTATATCGGCATCGAGTCAAAGGTTGCAGTAATATGCTTGGCTAACGTAACAGCGCACCTTAATTCGGAAAATGCAATGTGCGTCTATGCACAAAGCGCACCGCAGGAGCGAGTTACCGCGGTAAAGCAAGATATACACCAAATTACAGCTCACTTCATCGAGCACGTTCTCTTCTTCCTGCCGTCACTTTTGCCCTGACTCTGACTGAGGCGACTTGAGCGATGGAGACCTGCCTGACTAAGGCGAGTGGGAAATGCCTGCAACAGCACCAGGTACTGCGAGCCATTCTCCACGAAAGTCCCTCTTTTTGCCTGCCCTGGGCCATTCACGGCTGAAGTAACGTTGCCCAAGGCTCGTCCTGGTTGGTTCACGAGTCTCTCGACCGTAAATGCCACGACTTGTTGCTCTTTCTCTCCGACACTGGCCTGCTTTCCTTGTCGTTGTCCTTGTCTCACTGTAACCTCGGTGCCTCGTAAATCATATCTATCTGATCCTCCCGGCAGGCGGGAGAGGGCGTCAAGCTGCCGCCAACATGGACCAATTGGCAGGCTAGAGGCGAAAATGGATTAGCCACAGTTGATAGCTGTCCGGAGATGCGTGCTTGAGTTGCAGAGAGAGTAATTGCTCTGCCAAAGCCCCTGGACAATCCTCTCTCTTGTGGAAGCCACTGGGCAGTCATTCTGCTCACAGGAACACCGAGCCCGTTCCGTAGCCACTGGGCAGTCCCATCAATACAGCGGCATCAGGCGGCTGGCTATTGCCGCTGCGGCATTCGATGGTCCCATTACGGGCAGTCTCCAGTAGCCGGCTTTGCCTGCCCTTACGCTTACGGGGTACACTATCCCTTCTTTCTGCTCACCAACATACGTACCTGCTGCGTTGCCAGGACAGGTGCTGTAGGCTCAGGAGCATGCTTCTAGATTTGTTCTTCAGAGCTGCTAACTGTGGCCATTTGCCGCTTGCCTCTTTCGTGCTCCGTACGGCATTTCGCCGCCTGCCGCCGGTGTTTCCTCGTCTTTGCCGGTATGCGGTGTCTCGCCCCCTTACGGCAGGGCAAAACTATGGCCTCGGAATATCCGTACATACTGGCAATAACTCAGCTCGCACTCTGCTCTGCGTCTGGTAGCTGGTTTTACGCCGCAACGCCATCATCATGAACTCTATTCTTTTTTTTTCTGCCCTCCCTGTCGTCCGCTCTCTTTCCCGCCGCTCTCATTCTTCTACGAAGCCCGTTCGCCACTCCGTCTTGACTCTGCCCACGGCAAAGCCGAGCCCAGGCGTTTCTGCAACACGCTCACATACTATGGTACACAGCTCAAGTCTAGTCTGTGCTGTGCTCGTCTCCTTCTCAAATGTTGGACATCGCACATACAACCCGCGATCCACGCTCCACGCTCTCCGCCCCTTCAGACACACGCAATACGAAAGAGAAGGAGAAAAAGATCCAAGACTTTTTCGCGAACTCTGAATTACCATCACCACACGGGCGATCGCATTCCCAAACAGCTTGGACCAAAACGGAAAAACCTCCGTTCTGGTTGTTCTGGTTGTGTGTCAAAGAGACTTTCGGCCATGTGGAGCTCACACACGCCTTCCCTACGACCACTCTTGTTCCATACCGATCTAGGTCATGATGGGTGATTAGCATTCGCGTCCATCCATCCTTCGTCCATCCGTACCTCTTATTGTCATTTCACTTTACTTTTGCACCTTGCTTCAAGCTTTAGGCAGCTCTGGATGGGACAAGACATGGGCAATAAAGTAAAGTGAAGCAAAGTGAAAGTGAAGCGTAACGCAATGGAACGCAACGCAACGCAACATCGAACACTGGCGCTATGCCCTGGCAAAGGTTGGGTAGGGCACAGCAGCAAAGGCACGGCATGATATTCTGGTGACAACCTAACCGTATCATCAACCAGTGAGCTCGCACCAAACTCAAGCGGGCTGGTCCTCCTGGCTGGTTACGGTTTTGACGGCTGACGGATGAATGCGAGTCTATGGAACTCTGGTGCGAGATGATCCAACTCGTGACATGTCTGGAGTCGCCAAATCCCTCCAGTAGAGGCAAGGGCCTTCTGGGATAGAGTTCAGGTCCCTCGTCATCTTCATCCCGTCCGTCAGTCAGTCAATCCCGTTGGTCCATGTTGCCGCTGTTGCTTGCTGCGTCGGTTGTCGTCCTTGTCGCCGCTTACTGCGTACTGGGTTCTTTACACTTTCACTTGCTGACCATCATATCCTCATATTCAATCTACGCTCACGTTGCCTTCCTGTCGCACCCCTCTACCCCCCTAAATCTGTACGTTGCTGCGTAGTACCCTGCCTGCATCCATTCACATCTCACCCTCCTAGAACCCCACCTTTCATTGCACGCCCTCCCTTCTCCATCTTCAATCCATCCACCTCATCACATCCCTCCACTCCCTGTGGGTTGGGATCTCTCGTCCGTCGACGCTACCTCTCCACGACGTACTCGTGGTCTCCATCTGACCCAGGTAATCTGTCCTAAGTTTTTAATTTTTTTCTGTATTTTTTTTTTTCTCCTACGCAGGCGAATTCTTCACCTGGGCTTTTGCCCGTCCGCGTACCCAGCCTACACTTTCGCTGTCTAGCCTCAGTACGAGGCTAATGACTGCCGCCACGCTATTCACTTTGCATGGCGGTTGGGTGCTTGCGTGCGAACTATCCGTAACAATGGACAGCCCTTCGCTCCCACCAGGTCCTAGTACGAATACCGATACTGTACGTACCCAATCCCGGCCCCAGTTGAGGACGGGATGCAGGTCGCATTACTGTTGCGAATCCAGGTCGACGGTCGACTGTCGACCGTCAATGAAGGACCCGCCCATGTGTTTCCTCGTCTCGTTTTGCTGATGCCACGGCCCACGACTTGGTTTGGACCGGGCTGGAACTGGAACTGACAACCTTCCCTCCCTCTCGCACCTATCCGTAATCCGTATGGCAACTCACTACTGACTGATGACTTACACGCATACCCACGCACACTTTCCGCGCCGCACCACACGGCCACACACACACAGTCTCTCTCTGAACGGTCACTCTCACACTCCCAACCCCAATTCCAATTCACACTCCCTCACTTTTACCCCCAGGAGCCCCAGCTCCCGCTCCAGCTCAGATCCTTCTCAGACTCTCTTCACTCGACTCTGATCTCACACCACACCTTGCCGCCTACCACACGCCTGCTTGTCCCTACCACGCACGCACGCCTTCACACACTTTTGCGCTTGTCATTTGTCCCGTTCCCGGGCGGGGGGGGGGGGGGGTGTGGGGGGGGGGGGGGGGGGGGGGGGGGGGGGG